TCTGTTTTCTAAGGCTCAACTAACTATTTCATTCCACTTTCCACTAGCACTGTTGTCAACGGTCCCAGCAAGATCATTCCAGGAGGAAACCACAGCCTGTATTCTCTGAAGAATTGCTGTCAATTGTTGAATCCATCATCACTGAACTGCAGTTGGATCCCTAATGCATTCTGAGTTCAGTTACTTCTCCAATGGAACTCTAAGTACGGGTGCTGAATTTTATACATTGGAGAGAGAGAGAGAGAAAAAAAAAAAGCTATTCTCCACAGATTGATACATCCATCATTAAATCAGCTTTAATTGGAAAGAAGAACAGGGGTGAACCCTGGCATGTGTCCTGACTTGGAATCGAAACGTGACCTTTGATTCCTGAGTCAACGCTCAATCACTGAGCCACACCAGCCGGGCCATCACGAATGCTCTTCGTACCACAAAGACCATTTTTTGTGAGAAACACAAACACTAATGTCTGAACTCACAAAAAAAAAAAAAAAAAAAAAGGAATGTGAAAAAGGTTTTGAAATACTTTAAGTAATTTATTTATATTTTCCTTTTTGTTAATGTACAAGAATAATTTTTTAAAGTCTATGTGTAAATAGTTGATTTTCTTTTGTGTTGGTGTTGATGATGAAAGAGCAAGCTAAATACCCAAAAAACTCTTTGTCAGAAACATAATATGCCAGGATATTTCTAGTTATTGATCATTTGTATCAAAATTTTCTTGGAACTCATTGCGCCCTTTTGGTATATAGACTTAATTTTAGGGAAACATATTTATGTGTCTTTTCCCTCTGTTCTTATGTTCTGGGGTCAACCTTCATAAAAGCCTTTGGCTTACTGTGTCATGGATGCCAATTATTCACATGTTGGTTCTCCTTTGTCTGCTATGTCTATTGTTTTTTTTCTCCCTTTTTAACTCTTTGCATTTTGTTTCTATTCTGCTTTATTTTAAGGAATCTCTAAGAGAATCTCTTAGCTGTTTCTAGGGTCTTTCTCTGACCAACTAATTTTTAAATTATGTCTGTTACCATTACTATTCCTTGGATGTTTGTAGCTCTTAGTTCTTCTCTGAACTCCTTTTTAAAATTATTATTTCAAGGAAAATAATTACTGCCCTGTTTTTTTGTTAAGCATTTTTTTTCAAATTACAAATAATAATACCAATTTTAAAATGATGTAATTTTAAAATGGTGATGTTACAATGGTGTTACATCCCAATAAACTTATTATAAGTTGAAAATGTAAATCAGCCAAAACCGGTTTGGCTCAGCGGATAGAGTGTTGGCCTGTGGACTGAAAGTTTCCGGGTTCAATTCCGGTCAAGGGCATGTACCTTGGTTGTGGGCACATCCCCAGTAGGGGGTGTGCAAGAGACAGCTGATCAATGTTTCTCTCTCATCAATGTTTCCAGTTTTCTCTCCCTCTCCCTTCCTCTCTGTAAAAACTCAATAGAACATATATATTTTTTTTAAAAAAATTTTAAATGTAAATCAAAAATGCATTTAATACACCTAACATCATAGCTTAGCTTAACCTACCATAGATGTGCTTAGAACACCTACATTAGCCTATAGTTGGACAATCATCTTTTGTTTCATCTCAAGAGTAATTGCCTTCCCCTTCTCGCCAGACTTGAAGACACAGATGGGTATTTTGTAGACATGATAGGATGGGAAAATACAAAACACAGTATCTAAAAATGCTAACAACACAGTACACTGTAGAGTATCAGTTGTTTACCCTTGAGATTGTGTGACTGACCAGGAGCTGTGGTTCACTATCACTACCCCACATCAAGAGAGAGTATCTTAACATATATTATTAGCTCACGAAAAGGTCAAAATTCAAAATTTGCAGTATGGTTTCTACTGGATGTAAGTTGCTTTCACACCATTATAAAGTTTTAAAAATCGTATGTTTAGGACTATCTGAATACACACACACACACACACACACACACACACCTTTCTCCTCACCCTATTGACTCCAGCTCTTTCCAGTACCATACCCCTGAGACTAATATTGTTAATTGACTGCCATATGCAGCTTTCTCCAAACACATAAGAATGTTGAAGATCGTTGGTTCTATGCAAATAGAGTCAATTTGCATATCACCTTCAACTTCTTTTCGCTTGGTAATATAACCTTGCAAATTTCTTTTTCCCCCCCCAAATATGTTTTATTGATTTTTTACAGAGAGGAAGTGAGAGGGATAGAGAGTTAGAAACATCGATGAGAGAGAATCACTGATCAGCTGCCTCCTGCACACCCCCTACTGGGGATGTGCCTGCAACCAAGGTACATGCCCTTGATCGGAATCGAACTTGGGACTTTCCAGTCCGCAGACCGACGCTCTACCACTGAGCCAAACTGGTTTTGGTAACCTTGCAAATTTCTATAAGTCATTATGTATAGTTTTAGCTTTATCCTTCCCTTCCCACCATTATGTGTGTGTGTGTGTGTGTGTGTGTGTGTGTGTGTGTACAATTCTACATAAATGAGATAACAAACTACATGCTCCCAGTAAAACCTCTTAATGGAGGTTTTTGGTGCATGGTAAAGTCTACACTCTTTTTTTTTTTTTTTTTTAAATATATTTTTATTGATTTCTGAGAGGAAGGGAGAGGAATAGTTAGAAACATCAATGATGAGAAAGAATCATTGGTTGGCTGCCTCCTGCATGCCTTCTACTAAGAATCAAGTCCGCCACCTGGGCATGTGCCCTTGACTAGAATCGAACCCAAGTCACTTCAATCTGCAGACCGACACTCTATCCACTGAACTAAAGCAGCCAGGGCGTCTTCACTCTTCTTTAGCAAACATAGAAGCTGAAGGGATGTTTGCACACACACCCAGTTTATCTTTCACCCTGCTCCCCAGTGTTCTAAGATGGTATGTCCATGTGTTTCCTATGTGCTTGCTCAGTTGTTATCTGAGGTCACTCAGTTCTGACAACATGTTGCTGTCAGCCTAGGTACCTGGACCCGGTTTTAAGCCAAAGCTGTGATATCTATAGCGTGTCCCCAAAATATTTATACACACTTTAACACCTGACAGCTCAATTTTGAAAACAAAATGTGTTTTAATAGACACTGCTTTGTAATTATTCAAAATTTGTGTATACACTTTTTGGGGCAACCTATATTTTGAAAAACTCTGCACTCTGTCTTATTGGCCCATGAAATTTGAAGCCCCCAGCCTTTTCTCTGAGTCTGTGTTTATACTAATACAGTTTTCACTACTCTGAAAGCCCTTTTCAAACACAGTATTATAAGTCCAGATATGAATGTCTCCTAACTTCAATAAAGATGGAAGTTTGCTCTACTGCTTATTATTCTCCTTATTGTTTTCCATTGTTTGCCAAAGGAGAAGGGGGTAGAGATGGCATTTCTTTCCCCAGTGCAGAAATTATGGTTCTAAACAAATTTTCTGACCCTGTGGGAGCCTTAGGACCTCAGCCAAAAATAAACTGGAATCATGTACTATGGAGAATTTTCTTTGACTCCTCCCAACCCCCATTGGTAAAATCAGAACATCCAAGCAGTTAGACCTGAGTGGCAAATTCTTTGCAACTACACTGATTACTAACATGCATTCATTTTGCAATTGCTCACAACTAATTGTTTTTATATTTCTGTAGTTTATTTAAGCTGATAAGCTACTGTGAAGGGCTTAAGATGTGCACTTGCCCAGTGAAGCTGACTTCCAATTACAGAACAATTACAGAATTGGGCATGCTTTTAAAGAAGGTACTGAAGGACACAGCGTACCAGGAAGGATTCAACTCCCCTGAATGTCCTGGAGTGGAGAAGGGGAGGCAATCATTCACATTTAAACAGGCGGGAGCACAGGACTTAAGGAAGAGATGTCTGGTACAGGCACCGCCATATGGAGCTAATGAACCACCTGGTCCTGAGAATAGCTACTTTCTACAACCATTACTTATTTTTTTTTAATTGTTTTAAGCTCAAGCAGGAAGGAAAGTATACATTTACCAATTCTTTTTCTGGGTCTAAAGACAACACAAGCTTGTAACAATTGTTTGTCTTTAGGTCACAAAAACAATGTGACTGCCTCCTGGATGTAGAGTGAGTATTTTCAACTGTGGTCATTAGTGGGACTACGTGGCGTTTTCATTTCAAAAGAGTCTAGAAAATAAACAAAGAATCTGCACCAAGTCAGCCCCTCTTACTCATTATATCTTTTGCAAAATGGGAAGACAGTGACTGGTGTTGAGGAGGATATAGCCAGTAACCATGCAACGGAGGAAAGCATTCAAATGACAACCTTAAGATTTAGTCCTCCGGCAACTGACAGCAACTACTTGACCAAGAGAAATCAGGATTGGAATGAAACGTATGTCTTACAAGCCATATTAACATGTAAAATCAGCCCTACATCTTCCATGTATGAACATGCTTCTGGTAATACTCATCAAATAAGAGAATTGTAGAACTCTACATCATTCAGAAATGTTTCAACTCCCCTCAGCCCCCTTACTCCCTCCCCGAGATGTGTAGAGCCACCAAACCCATAGCTAAGAGCAGAGTTGGGGCAGTATTCCTGGTCTAATCTAAATCTCTTCAACTGCAGAGTAACCACCTCATTCTTTAATTGTTTATACACATGTCTGTCTGACCACTAGACTACTAATTCCTATGTATCTCCAGTAGCTAGGATCTGGCATCGAGTAGACATTTGGTAAATTTCTATTTAATGAATAAATGAAGATTGCAAAATGGATAACCCTCACATAAGCAGTTAATTGGATCACTATTGAAAACTTTTAAAATCTCATCAAAATTACCCACTCATAAAAATTGCAAAGGTTATACAAGCGTATAATTGAGAAGTTGGACACTGCCTCCTACTTCAATCTCATTTCTAATCATAAGTCAGCCACAGTTAACACTTTGATGTCACCGCTAATTTTTCTCTATATATAATAAACAGTACTATAAGTGATACCTAGTAAATGGAGTGGTGAGTCGTCTTTATTTCTAAATATGGAACATTTCACAAATTTGCATGTCATCCTCGCACAGGGGCCTTGCTAATCTTCTCTGTATCCTTCCAGTTTTAGTATGTGTGCTGCCAAAGAGAGCACAGGTGAGTCTTCTTTCAAGCTCAATGCCAGAAACACTTCACCTTCCACCTCTTAGCAATGTCAGGATTTTGCTTGTCTTACAGGAACTGTGTTGTACATAATGAGCAAACAAAATTCAGGAGACTAGCCTTCCTCATAATCTATCTGCAAGGCCAGCCTGCAACTTAGTAGTGTTGTCTTTGTTGAAGCTAAATGGAATCATTACAAATATCCCAACACCCAGCATAAATAAGTGTATTTACCATAACCAGATTCCTTTGGCTTATATGAGCCATTGTCCTATCACATTTAGAAAAGCTCTTTCAAGAAATGGAAAACAACCATCCAGTTGCTACTTCAGCAGCTAAGATTTCAGCTCTGGAGTGGAACTACCAGTGTTCAAATCCTGGCCCCTTTACCTTTGATATAACCTCTCTACCTACTCAGTGTCTCCATCTGTAAAATGCAAATAAACATAAATTCTCTCCCATATTTTTGTGATAATTAAATAAGTTAAATTAATGTAAAGCACTTAGAAGCATGCCTCACACAGGAAAACTATATAATATACTTTTTTTTTCATTGAGGTATAACTTACATTCAGCAACTACACAGAACTGCAGTGTACAGTCTGATGACTTTTGACAAATGTATACACCAGTGTACGTGACTTCACCCCAGTTGAGATGAGTGCATTTCCTTCATTTTAGAAAGGTCCCCAGTGCCCCTTCCCAGTCAATCTCACCCCTGTCCTCCCAGTTTAGCGTGATTTATTCTCTTTCCCCTGGAGACTAGCTCTGGTGGATTCAGATGGAACTTCATATCAATGGAATCATACAGCACATGCTCTTTTGACTCTTGCTTTTCTCATTCAGCATAGTGTATTCATTTTTTATCCAGTAGGTCTTTCAGCTTTTATTCCTGAGTGTTATTTCCTTGTATGAATATAATACCATTTATGTATCCGTTCCACTCTTAATGAACATTTAGATTCTTTTCAGTTTTTGCAAAATTATTTTTTGAAAAATAACTTCTATTTACCACAATTTGCTGAGGTGTTTCAGAACATCTTAAGTTTAGGAAACGTGAATTGGAAGGTAAAGAAGGTGTGGCTTACCCACATTGGGGTTTGCTCCTTCACGCCCTTACTCTCCCTCCACATCAAACTGAATCTCTTTATTCACATGTTGTTTTTCACAGGTATTTTCAAAATCATTGGCTTCGGGCCACAAACTGGAAGGTCAGTGATAACTGAGCCTTTAAAGAGAATAACAGGGTATAAGGTTTGAGGTGCAGGAAACTGACCACCAAGGAGTTTTAAAGTAAAGTTTATTCCCCAGTAATGAGTGGGACTCATTACAGAGGTAGGGAAATCAGAAGTGAAGGAGTTGGGAGGGGGGATGGACCCAGCCGGGCTACCATCTGGACATGGAGGATCAGCAGCACGTGGCTGGTCTGGGGGTCCTTTTAAGGGGAGGAACAGGAGAGGGTTGGACCCAGGGCAGAACAGGAAGGGGTGGGCTCCAGGACAATTTGGCATGCGCTGATTGATGGCTCAATGTCTTGGAGATGTCTCTGTGAGAGATGCCAATAATGTCATAACTCCGCCCACCAGTTGGGAGGAGGGAGAACCTTATACAGGGAAGCTGGAGTACCTGTAAGGTCATTCTTGGTTGAAAAGGATGGTGATTGATCTGTTCCTACACACTATATAACAGCACTTTCACTGTATTGTGTTTTTAAAAAATTCACTTGGCTTTCCTAACTCTCCAATAGATCTACTTTACATTAGCATTTGACGTCATTGGGCTGTAGTGCAGAAACTTGAATTTTTAAAAAGATAAGTAATGTAAGAAAACACTTTGTACTTTGAAAGTATTGTGGGCAAACCTGGAGTGCACGCGAAATGAGCTCTAATCATATCATAATATTTTGGCTCCAGCATCTCGCAAGATACAAAAGCATCCATCAGCTGAAAATGTTGTTACTTGGGAGCTACAAAAAATGTAATCCCATTTATGGGGATGGCTGGCCGGTTCTTAAAAGCACCTGTGTGAAACAAAAGACTAATCCTCAAACAGAAGGAAACACGGTGTTCTTGGGGGCTCAGGGGAAATTCTCCTGTCAGTGTGACTTGACTATTGTTTCCATAGCAACAGACTCTGGGATTCTCAAAAGCTGCCATGTGCTCACAGGAGGCTGCAGCTGGACACTCAAAAAACTTCTTTCTCAGGTTACTGAAGTATTCAGAAAGAATTCAATCAAAATTTCATTTAAAATTGGCCTTCTAGATGACTTGAAAGTATTTCTTAAATATTCTCTCTACCTTCTTACCAGTAATATCAGGAATGTGCTTGATGGGAATTGTATTCCGGGCTTAGGTATTTACCCTGAAGTGAGGACAGAGCAGAGATCCAGATAGTTCCTGCAGCAACTGGCCAGAGCCCGGATGGCCATGGGGGACAAGGCAGAGATCCCGGTTCTAGGGGTGACTCTGCGTTAGCCGCTGTAACTGGATTGGGAAAGGCACTCAGAGGCATTTCTGTCTCTACCACTTATATTAGAGGCTTCATTGCAAAAGTAATCAATCCTTTGTTATAGAAAAATATTCATAATGTTAAGGACAAAATAAAAATTTTCCAGTACCCCCTTACAAAAAATATACCTAATACTAATAATCTATAACATATAGTCATTCAATGTGCACGTGTGAGTGTGTGTGTGTGTGTGTAACACCATTGTGATATATTTTGAGATCAGCTTCCTTCCCATCTCCAATGTATCATGACCACTTTTCCATGTTGTTAAATATTCTTTTCTTTTCTTTTTTTTAATATATTTTTTATTGATTTTTTTACAGAGAGGAAGAGAGATGGACAGAGAGTTAGAAACATCGATGAGAATCATTGATCAGCGGCCTCTTGCACACCCCCTACTGGTGGGGATGTGCCCGCAACCACGGCACATGCCCTTGACCGGAATCGAACCTGGGACCCTTCAGTCTGCAGGCTGATGCTCTGAGCCAAAACGGTCCCGGCCATGTTGTTAAATATTCTTGTATGCCGGAAACCAATCATTGTCTCACTAATAGAAAGAGGCTGGTCAACCTTGAAGCTCTGAAAGGTCAGAGCCAACCACTCCCTATCTAATTGAGACAATGGTAACTGAGGCAACTTCCCCATCTTGTAATCATGTAAATCCTTACTGATATGATAATCTGCTTATTACCTGCCTAAGGGCTATGGGTGTTTCCCAAAGCTGCTTAAAGGTAATGGGTGTATCCCATAGCCTCAATAAAAGGGATAGCAAGGTCTTCCCACTAGAAGTTGACTCGCCTGGCCCCCCATTTGTCCCAAATTAACTCTTTTCTAGTCTCTCTTCATTTTAGTGTGTGGCCTCCTCCAGAAACCGAACCCTGAGTGGGCCCTGAATCACGCGGGTCTTGTTAAGGATTCCCACACCTGTACATTGTTTTTAAATGGCTGCAAAGCATTCCATTATATGACTTTACTATAATTTAACCTACCTCCCATGGCTGGCCACTATGGATGTTTCCCCTTTTCTTTCATTAGTTTCTCCCATATATTTACCTTCCCACAATTTACTGTGCCTAGAAGCAGTTTACTTCCTACAATTTATCCCACTCCCTTTGTCTTGTTATTTCACAATCTTTGTTAGAATGAGATAGGAGTCTCCACATCTAACCACTTCTTTGGGTTTTTACTTCTTTCTTTTTCTTTCTTTCTTTCTTTCTTTCTTTCTTTCTTTCTTTCTTTCTTTCTTTCTAATATATTTTATTGATTTTTCACAGAGAGGAAGACAGAGGGATAGAGAGCCAGAAAAATCGATAAGAGAGAATCATCGATCAGCTGCCTCCTGCACACCCCCCACCGGGGATGTGCCCACAACCAAGGCACATGCCCTTGACCGGAATCGAATCCAGGACCCTTCAGTCCACAGGCCAACGCTCTATCTACTGAGCCAAACTGGTGCCGGCTTTCACTTCTTTCTTGTGAAGTCCCCATATGCATGTCATATAAATGTTTCTTTTGTTAATCTCTTTTGTTAATTTAACCTGTGGGCCCCAGTCCCAGAACCTAACAGGGTAAGAAGAAAAGATCCTTTTTCTTCCCCTATAATATCTAAAATGGAGATCATCATATCCAACCCCGAAAATTAGCCTTAAACATTAAATAAATGTGGACTGTCTGGCCCATAGAAAAATTTGATAAGTTTCAGCAATGATGACAAAGAAAAGGAATGTCGCCTGCTTCACCCTTGTGCAAAGAAAAGCAGATACCCCGAGGGTTCACAGCTAAGGATAGCCTTTCCACTGGATCTGAACTAAAGACGTCATTACATGTGGAAAATTGTATCATCGATGATCTGGATAATAGGTTTGAGATTATATTAGTGAATTTTTTCACTAATTCAGTTTGAAAGTGAAACTCAAGGGCTGTTATTTCTCCTGAGGTTGGCCGGCCAAGGCAAAATGTCAGGTACGACCAGATTTGAATTCTAGCTTAGCCATTCATCTCTAAGACTCCATTTCCTTCTCATTAAAAGAGGGATAATTTTACCTCTTCTCATTCTGACAAATAATGTGATAATAATATAAGAAAAGTGGCTAGCACTATGCTTATCATATATGTTCAATAAATGATAATTATTTTTATTATTATCACGTTCTTCACTGTATCATTAAGAATTATGGCTATGGATGGATGAGAACAAATAAAAGGTGGGGAATAAATGAAGAACTGGAAGGAAAGAAAGAAAAAAAAATAATTAGAATATTAAAATCAAAACTATCCAAAAAAAATAAGATATATTGATGGAGGAACAGAGGGATATACAGATGGATAAAATGTGATCAAGTAGCTAAAAAAAAATATTAATGATAGAATCTAACCAGTATGTTTCACTATAAATTCTTTCAAGTTTGCTATATATTTGAATATTTTTTTATATTAAAATGTTGGAAGAAACTCAAGGCTACCATGCTTCTCTCCCCTCTAGTT